GTTCCCGGCGCCGCCAGCCCCGCTGCGCGCCCAGAGGGACACCCGGGCAGCGAGGGAAGCCCTGCCCCGCCCCGCGCCCAATGAGAGGCGGCGGGAGGTGCGGCCGGCGGCCGGGATTGGGCGAGGCGTGCTGTCAGTCATTCGGCGGGGGGCGGCAGGTTGTGCAGGGGCAGGGGCAGGGGCAGGGACCGGGGTCCCCGGGCGGGAGCGGGGTGGGGGCCGCTGCTAGGGACAAGGGACGGGCTGCAACGCACCTGCCCGGCGGGTGTCCACTCTGCCCTGCATAGCGCGGTGTGCACAGAAACTCTCTAGAGAAGTTAGGCTCAAAGTGTGTGTGTGTAGTCCTCGCTCCCGTGCAAGGTGAGTGGTGTGCGTGTGGTTTTGTTTATTCCTCTCTCCCCTGTGTGTGTGTGGGGGGGAGAGGGGGTATCCGTCTCTCCTCTGCAGTGTGTGCGCTGTACCGTGTGTGTGCATATTCCTTGCTTCCCTTCAGTTTGTGTGGTGTGTATGCGTGTGTATTCCTCTCTCCTGCAGCTTGTGTGCCTGTTTGTGTGTGTCTCTCTCCTCTGCAGTGTGTGTATTTCTCCCTCCCTTGCAGGTTTCTCCTGCCCAAATCCCCAGTTCAAACACTCACTGCCTTAAAATCCATCCTTAAGGAAAACCTTGCCTGCCTTCATCACTTCCCGTGAATAAACCTTTCCAGGAGCCCAAATTATCCAGACTGTGCCAGGGAGTGGAGGGGGGAAAACATCATTTTGCAGGTGAAATATTAGTATTACATCTAAGGGGACACCAGAAAGGGGCGGGGGGAGTCTCACTTACTTCTTTCCAAGATTTAAAAGAAGGAGAAGAGCTCTGCATAACTGTTAAGAAAGACAAATGATGTGGGGGTGGGGGGAGGGGAGTAATACGGTTAAAGGTGGAAAATGAGGAGGTTAAGAAGAAAAAAGTGCCCCCAGGCTCTGAGAAAGCAGGCACAGGGCAGAGCTGTCATTTGAGAGATATATGGCTCTGTTTTGGTTGCAATAATTGGAGTGCAAACTGTGTTAGAAATCTGCTTGTCAGCATCACATTTCTTTGCACCAGAAAGAAAACTGATAAATATCTGGAGGGCAAAACACTTCAGGTTATATCCAGTTTCAGGCTTTGGAGTTGATTGGTTGCAGCACTAGAAGCTTAAAAAATTTTCTCCTCTCCCCTGCTTGTGATTTTTAAAAGATACAGAAATTCCCAGGGGTGTGGGTTTGCAGAGGAATTAGTATCCCTTTTGTATCCATAATCATTGACCATGAGTTTTTGTTCACCACCTGTCTCATCTGCTAAATTCCTGTCTTCCTCTTATGGAAATGTAAAGACAAAAATATAATGTAAGTATATATATATATATATATATATATATATATATAAAATGAGGGACAGAGTTGAGGCCAACTCAAAACGAGCAAAGAAAAAAGTTTGTGGGGACATAACATAACAGAAAAGTGTCCTGTTGGGTTTTATTTAAAATCTGTTTGAAAGGAAGGGAGATATTGTTTGGTACAAATGGAACACTTCAATTTGGAAGTCTGGTGGCAGGGTCATGTAACTGTTTTTAGTTGGGATGGTATGTCATCTTTGCACCACCTCAGATGCACCATGTAAGCATCCCATTTCTGTTCCTTTATTAGTAAGACATGATCTAAATACAGCCATTTTGCAAAAAACATATGCATGAAGAGGCACATACGCTATTTTGAAAGGTGCTGTAATGTGACAGCTGCTATGTTTTTAAAGTAATTGCAGGTTACCAGTTTACCAAATACAGTTTAAACTACGCTTACATTTTCCTGCAAATGTTCAAATTGTGCTTTCCAGGCTACCTTGAAGAACAACCCCATTGACAATGACAATAAATTGAACAGGGCTAGCATGAGACAGAGGTGGAAGAAAAGGTGAATGTACTAATAAGAATCTAATATTGGTCTCCCCCCCCAAATAAATTGCCTGTGAAATTAACCAAGGAGTATCAGTGTGTGTTGTAGATGTAGAAAAATTCTTTCTATGACAGGAGACTGCAAATCTGCTAGCATTTTATATGTACTCCTTTTTATATTCTTACTGTGGCTAGCTGTTGCTTTTGGAAAGTACACCTTTTAACTAACAATTTAAGAAGTTACAGTGTTAGTGAAACGAGTTTAATCTGCGCTACAGAGACTGCATAAAAATCATAGCTATCAAAGTCTGCCCTCTGTTGTTATGAAATCTTAACATTTTAGCTCTAACAGCATGATTATTGCTATTATAATCCCCCCAAAAGGATTACAGTCTTACAGAGCAAATTCCCATAACACTGATAAAATAAGTGTTATAAAATTAAACCTTTAAACTTTGTACATGTTTTAATGCTATATGAGAGATCGATTCTGATGTCCAAATAATTCCCTTTTTGAAGGACACACCAACTGCAGAGACTTCCTCAGCCTGACAAAGGGTTTTTGAACCCGAAAGCTTGCTAAAACATTGTTGTTGCCAACTGTTTAAGTTGTTCTAATAAAAGATATCAGATTCACCCAAAGAACCTTGTCTCCTTTTTTAATGCATTTTTAAACACAAAGCACTAATAAGCAATATTGACTGCTTGTTTGCCTACAAATAAAAAACATCCATTTACACTTGCCTTGACAAAGACAGCTAGGGGATGGGGATTTGAAATAACAATTGAGCATGGTTAGTGAAGACATTCAGACACTGACGAAGTAGTCCCTTTTATAACTGCTGTTCAGCTTCAAGGTGCCAGGCCTGCAACCTGTACCTTAACTCCTATGAGTTTGCTTGCTCTCGGTAACATGCAAGATCAAGACCTAGAAGACTTTATGTGGACTAGTCAGACACACAGACTACTGATTTTGATTAACCTTCTTTTCCTTCAGTCATTTAACAGATCAATTTAAATGTTTTACAATTTTAGTTTATGTAGGTGTAAACTCTGGTAGGAAACCCGGACAAAGATTGAAGAGCAGTTGCATATACCGTGGCAAATTCAGTTACCTTACTGACATGAAGAGACCCATTTATATTAATAAGACTACTCGCTTGACTAAGGAAGTCAAAAGTTGGACCTAAACTGCAACACATTTTTATCTTCCTTCAGCTAAATATCTCTAAAGGCACTTGTACTTCTCAGCAATTTTCTGTCTCCCTGCATTCAGATCTCCAATTTACCTCCTCTATTCATAACCTTGGCTGTATCTTAAGCCTGAACTTTATTTCTATCTTATCTTCTATATTTACAGAATTGCCTGACACATCCTTTCTAATGTTATCGCTGCACAGCTCAACCTTCACTCATTTTTTGCCTTCGTCTCCTTTCATCTCAGCTGAAATCCCATCCCACTGCAATGGAGAAACTCCCACTGATTTCAATGAGGTCAGAGTTTCATCTCTTGACTACAGAAATTCTTTTCTATAGCCTTTCTAAATCCATGCTGTAGACACCAGCAGAATACAGATACCCAGCTTCTCACATATACAATGCATATGCAGCCACATTGTCAAATCCATAGTACCCATTCATTTCAGAATCTGTATTTTTAAATTCCTTTTAGTACAAATGTCTAATTATGATATGCTTATAAATGTAGTTGAAGTTCCAAGTTCTTCTTAAAAAAATCCCAGGCTACTCTTATTTTGATACAATGCTGTTACATATACAATTAGGTTTTAGTTACCCCTATTGAAATTCCAGCACCATTTGAGTGGTTATATGTTTGCCTAATAAAATAAGTAGGGCAGCATTCCTGATACCACATTTTCTGAAAAAGAAAACACTGAGGCCACTCAACAGATAAGAGTGCCTACCATGCTGAGAATTCAGCTCCCCAAACTGCAGTACAGAAGTTTTATTGTCTTCTTAGGATATTTATGCTGTCCAAAGGTTTTTAATTAAAGTATGAAGTTTTAGTCTTTAATTAGAAAAATAAATAAATTACCAATTTTTCATTTTTAAAATGTCTTTAAAAACATTATTGCCTATTTTAAAGTATCTTCCCAGTTTCCATTTCATAGTGAACATCCATGGTGAAATAGTATGTTTAAATATACATCTGAATTATAAAAAAATTGTAAAAGAATATTTAATATTGAAAGAGTTTTAACACTTATTACAATACAGTTCAGCCAAATCTTTTTAAATCTATCTAAATATATATTTATACCCTCCTCCACCTCCCAAACTTTAGAAACATCTGAGTTTAAGGTTTTGGTATCAGCTTCATCACTCTCACACTTCCCTTTAACTCCTACAGCAAGCAGCAGCTGCAATAGGGGGCACAAGTGCAAGACAGTAGTCGCAGTACAAGCCAGGGGGGGCTGGGGTGGCAGAAGGCTTGAAGAGATGGCAGGGAAATAGCAATGGAAATAGTTCAGTGTCCTAATTCTTGGGACGGATGAGGGAGGCTGATCGTTTTTAGTCCACTGACAACTAAGGCTCAATGGGAGTAGAAATCTGAGGAAGCAGTTGAGGCGATATTCATCCCTGCTGAAAGGTCTAACAAGAAACATAGCCTCAGATGTTTCCTGTGTACAGCAGCCTAGTGAAAGACAGACAGATGCTTCTGAACTCCTGGTGAAAGCATTAGAGGAAGAAGCAGATGTTACAATTGCAATTATAGCTCTGTGCTGTCAGTACACAGCAGCAAATATAGCTGTAGAAACTGCAATATCTCCTCTTTCCCTGGGTCATATCCACTAGGGGATGCAACAGTTAATTGTTCTCGCTTCTAAACAAAACATTCTTTTCACTCTGGTACCCTACCACTAACAGGGAAACCGGTCTGTTTTCTTACTGAAATGCAACTTTGGTACAAATAGGCTTCATTGAACCAACACATCTTCATGGCTTTTTCTTAGGGAAGTCACTTTCAAACAGTACCCTGAATCAGCTTCATCCACAGTACAGTCAGCATCCGGTATGACTGGTGCCACAAGCAAAGGATGGGTAAGCATTGAATTCCAAAGCCTAAAGAAGTGCAAGGGTAAAACAAATACTCTACCTGCATTTGTGCAGTCAACAGTGATGCCAGGATGATGGTTAATATCGCCGTGTTTTTTGGCTATATGAATAAGATTTTTTTCAGCACAATTCATTAACTACCAGTCAGTATGTCCCTTCCCTTTGATACAAGATATAATCACCAGCTACTTTCATGCAATTTAAAATCTACCAGAATCCAGGATAAAAATTAGTAATACCAGCAAATCAAATCAGACGTACACTTACACAAATGATCAGTTTTGGAGAAACAGAAACCTAATTGGGTTACTATAATAAGGCAGTAAAAATAATACAAGATTTCACACGCAATGGCTAGACTGTCCCGGGTTCTGTGTGTAGCAGGAAGGCAAACACAGCCTTTTCTGCCCCTTAACTCCAGTGCAAGGAGCAAATGTAGTCTTGACAGAGAGCTCTGATATTGCTGCCACTGGGCATGTTTACATGTGCAATTAATGTGTAGCAATAAACTCTAACATATATTATGCAGGAGTTTACTGTTCCGTGGTGCCATGTTTACACTTCTATGTACCACTACAACCAAACAGATATAATAGCAAGTCTATTCCTTCCTCTGCAGTGAGGAACCACAGATAAACATGGCGGGATGTTTTGGGGACTCATTAGAAACATAAGACTGGAAATGGGCTCCCAGGTCTTTGAGGCCAGTCTGCTGCATTCACAGGCAACCATTTGTGCAAAAGAGTCCACAAAATCATACAACCCTACTGGTCTTCATACACCCTAGACACGCTATGTCATGCACCTATAGGTAAAGAGCAGGAAGACCAGATTAGTCTTGCAGTGGTACCAGTGATGAGACAGGAGCAAATGGTATATAGAGGGGAAAACTAGATGGGAAAGGACCTCTGGGGTTACCTACCAATATACATAAGCAAGAGCAATGGATTTTAGTAGAAACTAGTGGGCATCATGCAAACAAAGGATCAGATTTTAAAAGAGTACAGTATACTCTACTGGCATGCATCCCAGATAAGGAAATAATCTGTTTAACTATGTGACGCAAAACAGGTCCAGATCTCTAGCCTGTTGCTTATGTTATAGCAGCTATTGGTTATCTGTGTTTCCATTAGGTGCATAGGATCTTTCAGCTCCGCTATTTGCTTTTTAATGCTGCTTAACTACATAGTAGCTTTAAGTGTCTACTTTGTAACTAACTGTAGTCAAACAGGGCACATCTACATGTGCAAATAACATGTAGCAATAAGCTCTAGTGCATATTGGGCTGGAGTTTATTGCTCCTGGGAGCCATGTTTAAATGTTTTCCCTGGGAATACAGCATGTTGACGCAGGATGGAGCAGCCCTGGCTGGCAGGGGACCCAGGGTATCAGCCTGCCAGTTCAGGGCTGCTCCTGCCCAGATCAGCATGCTGGAGAGGGGCTAGCTGGGGCACAAGGGTGCTCCAGTATGGAGCTAGTCAGCAGGCAGCCCTGCACGGAAGCACTTTCATGCCCCAGCCAGGCAGCCCTGCAATGAAGCACTTTCATGCCCCAGCCAGCCCTATCAGTGTCTATATGTGTGTTACTGCACACTAAAGAACTCTGCTGTAATGCAGTCCTTGTATTAACACAGCATAATTAGTTTCCTATAGCCTAATAGGGGCCCATGTGTAGACACTGAGACTTTACTGCGGAGCTAATTAGGAAGTTCCATAGTAGACATTACATGTAGATCCACCCACAGTGAAGGGGAAGCTGCTGTCAAAGGCTTTTACTCTTTTACACTTCATTTTCAAGGCTTCTAATCATAGCCCCTAAACTGGCTAATAATTAAGAACCTTGAAAATTATGAGAGCCAGTCAGTTTGGAATTGCTAGTACCAAAGCACTGTCAGTGCTGTGGTATTTAAATTGCTTACAATGATTTCTGATTTAAATGCATATTCTGAGCAAGTCCACAGCTTTTTCAGCCCCAAATTGGGCACTGAAACAGCATGGACTCTATGTACATGCCTAACTTAGGTGCCCAAACTGATATCAAAACTTACAGAAAGTTAAGGCCTACATAGGAGTTAAGTATCCATATGGCTTTTAGATTCTCACCCTCAGTCCCTGAAATTGTGGTACCTAAATTCTATGAGGGAAGGCTGGGTGTATCAGGGGTAAAGATTCTTGCAGAAGTGGTTTCTGAACTTTCTGTGTAGCAGGCCAGAGCCCTACTGCCCCTCAAGGCAGCTGATCATTGCTGTAAGTACTACAATCCTTTGTTGAAGGAAAGAGGAGCAAGTACAAAAGGCATACAAGATTGTGGATTGTGTAGGTGCTGCAGGGCCCCATGAAATGGCATACAGAATCTGTTTCCAATTTCACATCAAATGATCTGAACCTCAGAGGATCGGGCTTATGGAGTTTATATTCTCTCATCAACAAAGGATCCAAAAGATTGCCAGAACACTATAAACAATCGGACTAAACACAGCTTTTTACAAAAACAATTCCAAAGAAGAACAAAAAGGAAAAAGCCTTCAAAACCCCAAAGTGTTAGTTTTCTAGCAACAATTTTTGCTTCATCTTGTGTTGTCTTTCCCTCCCCCCACAAGAACAAAATTCAGATTCTTGTTTGCACTAAGTTTCTTGTTCTAAGGTCTTTCTGGTCACTTACTGCTGTAGGATTTCATGTTGCTTGCCCTAGCATTTCTGAGTACTCAGGAGGAAGATTGGTTACTCATTTGTTTGCAGACTGTTAGATCTATCAACAAACCGTCATCTTCCCTTAGGTGGTTTTTTGGTATGCTGTAGTTTACTGGTATTTGGTTTGCTTATCTGCTTTACTCCCAGATTTCCTGCTATGGTTAAAAACAGCTGACATGGCTGGAAAGTGGCACTCAAAGGTCTCTTAGATCCACTTATAATGCCAAATCCTGCCCTTGGGTGCACTTGTATGAATTTAATTGTAATTAATGGGAATCAAGCAAAATGCATGTAAGGGTAGAATGGTGCCCTTAGACAGCGCAATCCTGTTAAACAAGCATGGTAGCACATAGTGACATTTTTCCTGGCTGGTACTCCCAGATTAAAACTGAGTCCAATAACTTGAGCATATGATTTTTTCAGATACAGCAGAGGGACCTTGCAGGGATTTTTTTTTGTGGAAATAGATGCTGGCCTTAAGCCAAGAATTGGGGAGGTTTTGCAGTCTTTACACAGGCAAAACTCCTGCTTCTGTCTGTTTATTTAATACTAGATCATGCAATTGTAACCGAGATCAGTGTCTGCTATATATTATTTTATACTGAATGTCTTCATGGACCATTTCAAATTGCATTACTTTTTGGTTCCAGAAATCCCTATTGATCAACACTATCATAGAATCAATGACAGGAAACTGGATATGTCTACTTGTTTTTCCTCAGATAACAAATATGGGAATTGTAAGCTGCAAATACCTGTTTTCCTTTACAAAAAAACACCTTAGAGTTTAACATGTAATTAATATATTATTGAAGCAGTCAGCAGTAGCATTGTGTTAGTACCCAGAGGCCATCAACAGAAGCCGGGGAGTTATTATTCACTGTTCATTTTGCTTTTATATTATTCCCCTTTTCCATAAACTTTGTCTGTCTTATCTTTTTGTCCCTCTTATCAAAGGGGAAGGTATAACAAGAATGAAAAGCTGGAGGCTGAAACTAAACAAATTAAAATTAGAAATAGGGCACAGATTTTTGGCTGTGAGGTCACTGACCCCTTGGCATGAACTACTAAAGCAGGAAGTGGATTAGGGTTGCCATCTGTCAGTAAATTTACGGAGCAGTAGTAAAAAAAGATCAGCCTAAACATGGCTCTCAGTAAAGTCTGTAAAAAACCTTTAACTTTCAGTAAAAATACTAAGCAGCTGCAGCTTGACCAAAGCTCTGATAGGTAGAGCACCGCAGTGCTACCTGGTGTTGAAGTGAGAGCACAGCACCCTGTGGAGGCACATGCTTTCAGGCAGGGGTCGCTGCCTGTAATACTGGTGGGTTGCAGGTAGGCATCCTAGAGGGTCCATGCTGGGATGCGGGAGGGAGGAGGACACAGAATGGGGCTGGCAGGGGTAAGGCTGAGGAGTGGGTTGACAGGGCAGTATGGTGCGGGGTGTAGTCAGAGGCATCAGGGTGTATGAGTGAACAGGGGGCACCTGGCAGGAGGGTGGGGCAGCACAGCATAAAAGCATCACTGCAGTCAAGTAGGGTTGCCAACCCAAGACATTTTTTTTACTGCAAATTTTTTCCTGAAAACAAGAACTGTTTTTTACTTTTTATTTACTATGGTCAATGTTAAATCCCTAAATTTGAGCCCAGCCCTTCTAACATTGGCCTAGCAGAAGTTACATTACTTAAACCATATTTATCAATGAAAACATGTCAGTAAAAAACTTTGTCAGTAAACAGCTTGCAGGTGATCAGGAAAAATTTAAATTTTCATGCGTTGGCAACCCTGTAGTGTATTTTCTACCTCTCAGTGTCATCAGATCAAGACGACCAGTTTCTCTGGAGGAGATCCTGTAATCAAACACAAGTTATAGGGAGAAATTCTCAGATTTTTGTGTTTTTTTCCAGGAGGTTACACTAAGTGATCTTTTGGTCCCTTCTTGCCTTAAGCTCTATGAATCTGTGATTTCAGACAATAAGTTCTTTGAGTAAATGGCTATCGTCTACTCTACTTGTACATTTTCCAGCACCAGAAAGACCCATTCTTCATTCTTCTTCAAACACTACCATAAACATATGATCAATAACAACATCCTTCTGCAAGGCAACTAGTATCAACATTTTATATTTCAATAGCGTGTAACTTTTAAAATCAAATGTAAAAACCTTTATATTTTAGCATGTTCTCAGCACAGCACTTGCTCTGATCTCATGATTTTATAGACTAATAAATGTACTTTATTGGAGTGCATTTTATGCATTTATGCTTGAGGGAGTCCAGAGAAGAGCCACGCACATGATCAGAGGTCAGGAAAACAGA